ATCTTTAAATGTACGTATATATACCTCGACCTCGTTAATCTGAATAGACCAAACCAAACCAAAACCAAAACAAGAAAAGAAAAACAAAAAAAAAGATAAGCCAAGAAACAAAACTTGGGAAAAAAAATACCATCAAGTTGACAAACAAACAAGCAAAATCATGCTGAAAAGTGCTTAATGTCAAACACGACCGATATATAGTTGCACACACACACACACACACACACACACATTAATATTATTAGACTGAATGTATATCATCTAACAACCAGCAACAAAAGAAAGTTTCAAATCTAAAAAAAAACGGAAAAAACTTTATTCCATCAGCAACAACAACAACAACAAAAACAAAATATTCTTGAGATAAATTGTTCATTTGATTCATTCATTTATCGTTTCCAGTGAAAACAAAAAAACGAAAAAAAACAGCACATGAATGAATGAACAAACAAAGATTTAAGCAAAAGCAAAAAAAAAGAAAGCGAAACTTAATATTTTGGAAAATGAAAATATAACGGATTAAACACAAAAACTTTTCAACTGTATATCATCATCATCATCAATGTGGAGTTTTTTTTGCAATTTCATTGTTGTTGTTTTTACCGAGAAATCGTGTAGTAAAATAGAAAATTGTCAAGTCGATCAAATTAAGATCAGATGATGATGAAAATCTGGTTATTTTTATTTTTCCCGCTAATCATCATTGATATAATCGATATCTCTCTGGCACTATATATATCAGCTAATAATAAGGGTTGTATCCAATGGGTTCAAACTTAATTAGTTGTTAACGTCGTTGTTGTCGTCGTCGTCGTTTGTTATATTTTTGCCTTGTCTTCATGTCATCACGTTGATGTTATTTACGTTTCGTGTGTGTGGCTGACATTTGCTGCACATTACCAGTTTCTATAGTGAAAACTTTTCTGTTTGTGATGTGTGTGTGTTTTTTTTCTGGATCCCAAAGCGAGTGAAAAAAAAACACACAGGGATAAAATCAAGAACAATGAATAAACAGAAAAAATTCTTTCTTAAAATTTTTCTTGCCTAGATATATGTAAGATTTACCATTATCACTTCAAGGCAAATAGTCTGCCAGCAACAATTTTTTCTTTTTTTTTTTTTTTTTCCATTTTCACCAAATATTTGTCCATGTCAAACAATATACATTAAGTTTTTCGTTTCTCTCGTTGTAGCATATATATTCATTCGATTCCAAGATTCAATATGAATGATTGAAAAAACACACACACACACACGCAGAAATAGTAAAACTTGACATTGGCTTAATTAAAAATTGACATCAAGTCATTGGCTGTTATTAGGAAAAAAAATGGCAGAATATAAAACCAACAGAATCAAACATCTGACGCCAAATTCATTCTTTGTGTATTCTTTTTTTTGCCATTCATCTTATTTGAATTCTTTTTCTATTTTTTTCTACACACACACATACACATCAAACCTTTTTTTCAAATTTTACAATGAAAATGATGAATAGAATCCAAGAATGGAATTTCCAGAATAACAACAGCGGAAAAAATGATAAAAAAATCCAATTATTTCAACATATTTTTCATAATAATGAAAAAAATGAAAAATTTTCCTCAAGAATTTACAGAACTATTCCTATGTTTGTTCAAAATGATGATTGAGAGAGAGAGAGAGAGACAGAAAGGAGTAAATTCCACTAACCTGTGTGTGTCTGTGTGATCGTGATGATAAAAACAGTATCATGGACAATATTGGATGGATAAATGAACGGACAAATTCTGGCTAAATAAATAACTGTGTATAAGGTGTGTGTGTAAGTGTACACACTCAATTTACAAAATAATTTTCTCGCCAGATGTATGTATTTTGAAATGAATGTGTTCCAGATGTGCAAACTGAAATTGATCCACTTGTGATTTTTAAAAGCAAAAAAAAAAAAATAAATTATTTTTTTCGCCATTTTGAGTTAATCACACAATACCTGAACCTGTGTGTGTGTGTATGTGAATTATTCCTGCCAGTTGAACAAAAACAACGACGACCAAATTCTGGTATTACTGGTTCAGAAAGGTTAACATTTAATGGAGCTGCAGTGCAATAATGTGATAATATCCAGGGAAATGTATTCATTTTTCAAATGAAGAGAAAACAAAAATTTGATGTTTGTAACACAACAAATTCCAGTGTTAATAATGCGAGTAAAAAAACAAATTTTATCCGTATAAACGTAAACATTTTTGTCTGCATCATTTGTTTATTGACAACACATTAGTCAAATCAATCAACAGTATTGAAGGCAAACGGATTCGTTTTTTTTGGTGGAGGGAAAACGTGTATATTTTTCGAAGAAAAGGAAAAAAAATCCAAAGTTATAAACAGCCAAGAAAAATGCACGGTAGAAATGGGAATTTTTCTTCGGTTTTTTCCCGTGAATATGTATCGAAAATAAATCACCAGCATAGACAAAATGTCATGGAGAGAGAGAGAGAGGATGAAAAAAATAATCTTATCCACAACAACCATTCATTGGTCAATTTTGGTCAAGCATCCATCAACCAAAAAAAAAAAAAATGGCCAAAAAGTTAAATTTGTTGAAAACAAACATTCAATAAAATGAGAATGAAAATCCAGTTATTACGAAACTGAATATATTTTTACAAACGCCATGTTTGTATCGTATATTTGTGATGGTGGTGGTGGTGGTGGTGGTGGGTAGTGGAAAGTATCTTATGGCCCATCACTTTTTATTCTGTTGAATTTCTTTTTTTTTTTTGGTTCATTCCCTAAATATTCTGCGCATATAATTTATTTCATTGTCTAAAATTGACAGCCAAATCATTCATTATATGATTAATAGACGAAAAGAGTGAACGAATCTCATCTAAAATGATGCGGATGATAGGCGTTTGTCTCGAATTTTGTGTTTCTATCCAGATTTAAGAGAAAAAACCCTGTTTTTTCCTGTTTTGTTTTGTTCCATGATTCAAATTTTCGTTTCAACAGCAAATTTATTTTTATTTTCAAGTTTCGTTTTGCGGATTAATAAACAAAATTTTCATCATCAAATGTAGAGAAAAAGTTGATCATCATCATCATCATCATCATCATAATCGAATATTTGAGCGTTTATGAATATTCAGTTTTTTTCCGGAGAAAAATTGAACGCTTCATTATTGGATAAAAATTCTTTTTATCCAGAGAGAATTCATTTCGTCTCCACCAATAAACAATGAACGAATAGACAATAACTCAGTGCAGTAACTCAGAAATGTTGGGAAAAAAAGTTTCGTTCAATTTCATGGTTCAAATAGTCGTGTGTGTGTGGATTAGGCAATCCAGGCAACGAAAAAACAACAACAACAACAAAGAATATAGAATCGAGAATATCACACACAGAGAGAGAATGAGAAACAAAACCAGATCATCATGATTGCCCTAGTTTTTATACCAGTGGAACAAAAAAAACACCAGATAAAAGTATAGCGAGAAAGAAAGAAAAAAAGAAGGAAAAAAAACAAATGAGAAAAGCCAGCCATTGAGTAATGAAACAACAACAACAAAAATAACAAAATATTTAGAATCTCTCTCTCTCTCTCTCTCATTTGATTCAAATAGATCACCATTGCCAGTGCCACTGTCTGTTCATTTTATTCATTAGTTTCAAAATGGATCTTGGAAAACATGGAAAATAAACTACACACTGTGAATCTAGAGACTTTTTTCTTCTTCTTCTTCTTGATGACTGTGTGTGTGTATAGTGTACACGTTTTTCTTCCACATTAGAAAAAAAACCACTAATTTAGCTTTTAGTTGTTCAATAATAATAATTAAAAATATGATCAGGTTGATCATCATGATCATGATCATCATCATCGCAAATGCATTCACATATAGGACAAGAATATAAATGAATTTAGCCTCGAAATGATCGAAAATTAAAACAAAAAAAACCCAACTATATCTATATATATAGCATTGAATATAGCCGTCAATAATGATAATAATAATTATCATTATTGCTCTTGCTAAATATCAACAAACAACAACAACAGAAAAAAAATGTGCATTTGAAATCCCAAGCCACACATTCAATCATCCAATGATATTACCATCAACACCACACGCCACTAATCATAAATTGAACACAAACACTCACAACACACACACACACTTACCACAAAAATATAGACACGAATTGATCGGAAAACAAAACAAAACAGAAAAAAAAAAGAAAAACACGCAAACTGGCAAACTGACAAACAAACATAGTCTTAGTCTTATAGGTCGCTTAAGACGATCGTATTTGAAAATGAAAATGACGATGATGATGAGGGTAACATCAAAATTGCTACAGCTTAGCTTCTGAATTCATCATCATCATCATCATCATCGTCAACAAAAATCGTACAGGGCAAAAGAGATGTGTGTGTGTTTAATTTAGATAGATAGATAAAAACAATCCCATGAGATGAATTATAAACTCATCGCCATCAATATAATCATAATAATCATTTTGGCCGACCTATAAAAATGTATGTATACACAAACAAACAAACAAAAAAAAACACCATATTCGAATCAAATCCAATACAATCCAATCCAATCGATTCGATCGATCGATCGATAGATCGATAGATAGATCAAAAGAAAAAAAAATCCGATCCAATGAACATACATCATGTGTGTTCACAAAATCATTATCATTGGCATCATCATCATCATCATCATAATTATTAATAATGAAATAAGAATTTTTCCAATTTTCATTTTTCGTTTAGATTGCGTGATCTGTGTGAAAGAATTTTTTTTGTTCATTTTCGTGCTCCACACTGTGTTCATAATAATAATAAAAAAATAGTCACGTGAGAGAAAACAGAATCACGAAACACAAATGGAATTACAATTCACGATAAAAGAAAATTGTTTCAAATTTAAAATTATTTAAATTTTGAATTTAATTTTCAATTCAAAATTCACCAAAAAAAAATGGAAAGAAAAAAATCACTCACCGCTATAAGACTTTCAAATTTTGGTCCATCTTGTATGGCAAAATTTCCTGATGGTAATATATCGATACGATAATGTTTGACTCTTGAATCATGTGAAAGACATATTGCATATGATGATTCGTCTCGTTCGCGTACACTGAATATTCATTACCATACACACACAGACACACAAAGACACACACACACACACACACATGGACAGACCGGACGATCAAGTAGGTCAACCAATAAATATTGGAAAAAATGAAAATTGAATAAAAATCGATGAATAATAATCATTATGATGGTGATGTTGATGTTTATTTATTGGATACAATTTCATTCCGGCCACATAAATGATGTTTATGATGATGATGATGATATGATAGATGAAGAAAAAACAAACATGATCCAAGATTATCCATTTTGAAATGTTTGTTTCATTCAATTTAAATTGTGTGGTGACCAAAAAAAAAACCAATATCAGTCAAATATGTGTGTGTGTATGTGATTAGTGAGTTGGATTTGATTTTGATTTTTGTTTTCAATTTTTTTTTCAATCATTGATCACAACAATAAAAAATTGATGATGATGATGATGATTATACGGTTATTAATCATCGTGGTTGTTTATTTAGTTGTTGTCATCATTATCATCATCATCATCGTCGTCGTCGTCGTCGTCGTTGTTGTCGTTTTATTACCAACACAATGAATGAAAATCGATTTTACGAGGCCATAATAAATTGATGATGATGATGATGATGAAGAGTTCATTGACCAAAGTTGACATACACACACACACACAGAGAGAAATAATCGAAGAATTTAAAAGTGATGAAAAAAAAGTGAAGAAAAAAAGAGAGAGAAAAAAGAGAAAAAACGAATTAGAATTCAAGAAGCAAAAGAAAAAAAAATAGTGATGATGATAAACACACTGATAATAGGATATATAATTAATTAATGTTCAACAACGAACCCAAGAAAAGAAAAAAAAAATTTCAAAAAAAAAGTTATCTTGTTAGTATGTGAATCGAAAACGAAAGACTGCTCTTTAGTAGTAGCTCATTGTTGTTGTTGTTGTTGTTGTTGTTTCGTGAAGTGAACTGAAGATAACAACAAAAAAAAATCATTCAAAGTCAAGTGTGAATTTTGTTTCATTGTGTGTGTGTATGTGTTCATTTTATTGATTGAATATGAATTAAAAACGATGTTTCAATGGAAATTGATCATCATTATCTTAATGATGATGATGGTGATGTCTCCATTGATGGTTCGATAACAAACATGAACAGTTGCATGAATGAGTCAATTCTTTTGGCAACCAAAAAGTTTGTCAAATTCATAAATTTTGACATTTTATCTAAATTCACTAATAGAAAAAAAGAGGTGAATTCATTGGGGAAATTTATAATTCTCTAATGCTCTACTATACTGAACATTGAACAGAATTTTGGTTGCTATTGAAAAGCCATCAAAAACAAAACAAAAACGAACAAATTCTGTGACAAATTTTGTTTGTCTCATACCGTAAAAAAAGCCAAGAATTTATTCTAGGTTTGTTCCGATCACATTCGATGATAAAGATGATGATGATGATGACGGTAGAATTTCTAATGTATCCATCATCCAGTTTATATAATACATATCATCATCAGTAATTTGTATTCATGTTTGCACTTTTCAATAAATATCTGGATCTTTTTTTTTTGTTCATTTTCATTGCTGTCACCATCATTATCATCATCATCATCATCACAAAGTTGCCACTATTTATACGATTGCAATTTGCATTTTCTTATTTCCTTATTTTGGTTTTTTCTGTTTGCAACAACAACAACAACAAAAATCTTTTGAGTTCAATTCATGATTTTCTTTTCTCAGTATACATATATTGTATGGCTGTGTTATCATATTGGTCGTTTTTTGTTGTTGTTGTTGTTGTTGTTGTTGCTGCTTTTTCTTTTCTGGTTTTGGTTGCACCAAACAAAACAAAAACGAATTTTACCATGCAAATTAACCACTACTGAATAGAAAATAAGAAGCAATGATTCACTTTGTGGCAAAAAACAACAACAACAACAAACTCACATCATCATTATTATTATCATTGAGAATGAAAACAACAAGAGAATGAACAACAACAACAACAAAAAAAAATCCAATGGAATTGATACGCCAAGTGATGGTGAGTAGTAGTAGGTTTTTTCATTCATCTGGTTTCTGATTTTCATCACATTCACCACCATAGTGGATGTGCATTTTTTTTTTTTTTTTTGTTTTATTTTGTTTTGTTTTGTTTTGTTTTGTTTTCCTTTCACTTCATTCATTCATTGACTTCATGGACCATGGAACACAGAAGAAGTGAATAGAAAAAAAACGCACACACACAGACACAGGCAGACACAGTGATAAGCAAAAAAAAAAAATGCAAAATTCGTGCATCCAAAATAATCGTTCTCGTCAATGAAAACCAACAAACATGAACAGGCCTGAAACTGGAAACATATCAAAATTTTGCAATTGTAAAGATATCAATGCTGTTTTGTTGTCAAATAAAATACGACGATTTTTATTCGATTTGTGTGAGTTTGAAAACTCATCTTTGAACAACAACAACAACAACAAAATAACCAATTCATTTTGATCACCTCATTTATTTTGAAATAGATAAAAAAAATTTTTATTGCCGCCAAAAAAAAAATCGACTGGCAATGAATTTCAAATGGCAACAAAAAAAAAATATTTGAAAATTTTTTATCGTTTATAAATTGCCAATGGGAAAAAGAAAATAACCTAAATTTACACCCACAAAGAATAGAATAGAATAGAATAGAATGATGAAAAAGATCATCTGACTATGGCAAATAAAATCATAAGTTGACCACTTTATTATCATTGAAAACAAGGAAAAATAGTGATCAGAGCAAGAAAAAAAACGGAAAAGGAAAAATTTTTTTTTGTCTTCCGAACAGAACACAGAATAGAAATTCAGTCAAAAATTACACACATGGTATTAATTTGTGATGACGTATGCGGAAAAAAAGATCTGTGAATCTGGACAACAACAACGGAAAAAAAAAAAATCAGAAATCGGATACATAATTCTATAACGAACAAAAAAAAACGATCATCATTTTCAATAGTAATCGGTTATTTGATACAATGGAAAAAAAGAGGTGATTGCTTTTGGTTGGTTCCAGTGATGGACTTGTACAACGCACACACACACACACACACACACACACACACACATCTTTCTTATTGTAAAACACAAAATATGATCCAGGAAAACAAAAATATTAATAAGACAACGAAAAAAAAAGATCTATTTTTGTGTGTTTTCTCGAGAATATATACAGAGAGATAGAAGATAATTACATCAGTGACATACACACACACACACACACTTGACAAAATAATAATACTCATCATTCAACATAAGTGGATTTTACTGTATATGTAAGCGTATGGTGGGTAGGTGTGTGTGTGTGTGCGTTAATGGACAATTTATGAGCTAAGCGTTTTTTGGCTTTCATTTCCGTTATTTGTTATCATGGTTGACGATTATTAACAACAACAACAACAACAACAACAATATAGAAATCGTAATAATAACCAAATGGCATGAAAATGATGATGAGAAAATAGAGAAAAAAAAAAAACAGATTGCATCCATGATAAACGTATGATAATAATGATGATTATGTGTGTGTGTGTGGCCAATTGATGAAATCTCTAAGATTTTTGTTGTTGTTGTTGTTGTTGTAGTTTTTTTTTCGCCACACACACATATAAACACAACAATGAAATGTGCAAACTTAAAAAAGCTTAATGATGATGATGATGATGATGATGATAACAATTACCAAATGAATAAATGAATGAATTAAATAAAAAAACGGCAAGCAATCGGTTTGAATTCATTCATTCATTCGTTTTTTCATGAAAAAAATATAAATATAAATTCCCATCATTTGCATAAATTCAAATTTTTTTTCTCTGTTTCTCTATACCATCCTATACCATAAATTTTGCAATGAAAAAAAATGATTACACACACACAACCAGCAAATTTGAATGAACAAAAAAAAAAAAAAAAAAATTCATTTCAATTGCATCAGATAAATTACAAACAGAAAAAAAATGCAATGCAGAGAAACAAACTTTTAAGTTTTGCCATTGATATATATAATTGATTGCTGGGAAGCTAACTTTTACTCACACACACACACACGCACACACACACACACAATTAATTATTGACCTTATGTTTTTTTTCCATATTTCTTATCATCAGAATGTACGTTTCACCCGTCACAGACATACGAATGCAAATTTTTGCATATTGGAGTGGTACAAATATTGTTTGCACAGTATTTTTTTTTTTTTTTTTTTTTTTGCCATCACATCCAAACACATAAGAAAAGAGATTAAACACTGAAAAAGTAATAGTGGTCGTTGTTAGTGGTGTATGTGAAATTGAATTTTTTTTTATAAAAAAAAATTCAATTCAATTTCTATCAATGCACCACAAATGCAGTGGTGGCAGTTTTGTTTTCCAAAACACAAAACACAAAACACACACACGAAAAAAAAACAAATGGTACAAATTGAAATTCACTATCTATCCAACATATATAAATAACATTATTATTATAAGGAAGAAGGAAAAAAAATGTAAGAAAATAATTCTTTTATTTTCTTCTAGTTTTTTTTTTGAAAAAATTTGTGAACATACGATAAGAAAACACAATACACATTGAAAACATGTTATGAGACGACAATGTTCGTGTGTGTACGGATCCAGCACTTGGACCTGTTTCTCCCAAAATGGACCAAATGTTTTTTTTTCTATCCGATTACATAAAAATTGTATGAAAAAAAAGAAACACATAGTGATGGAAGTATTAACAATTTTCATTTACTTGGTTGTTGTTTGTGTTGTTATTTTTTTTCATTTTTTCTTCAATAAAATAAATCGGCGTTTACATTGAAATTTTTTACCATTTCAGTGGTAAACGATTCCAGGAATACACACCGAGTGTCTGTGTTTCTCTTTTTTTTCTGCAAGCACAGCTTTTTTTCTTTAATTGAAATTTTTTTTTTTTTATTTTCACGTAATTTAAGAGCTTAATTTTCTTCATTTTCTTCTTCTTTTTCAATGTTTGCCTCAAATGGAATAAAAAAAAATCTGCTCCAAGTCGCACTTGCACTCTTCTATCATACACTATAATAAATTATTACCGCACGAATGAATTTTTTCAATTAGAATCAATTCAAAAATTTCTAGTTTGTCATCATCATCATGATCAAAGTTTTATCAATCGTTGGTCGTTGATTTTCATATTTTTTCATCACCATCACCATAATTCTCTAGAATTCATTAGCTCAAAAGAGAAAAAAAATAAGATGAATGAATGAATGAATGAAATCTTTACCGATACAAGCAAGTATATCATATTTGATGATGATGATAATTAATGATAAGACAATCAAGTTAATCTAATATTAATTTAGCTTGTTAGCATGTCGTTGCATGTCGGTGATTCGTAGACGAGAAAAGTAAAAAAAAAAAAAAAATCTCATCAATTATATCGTTGAAAATTTTGGAGGCAATTTTTTTTTGCCAGATATTCAGATTTCTTTCTCTCATCTACCCAAAAAAACATGGGTCTTGATTCATTCATTCATTTTCCAAGAAATTATCATCATCCACATTATCATTATCGTCAATCTGAACAGACAAAAAAAAACAGAGAAATTCGATGAAATCAAATCATTACATGAAACAATGTACATACAGCCATCAATGTAATGATGGTCTGACAACATGTATAACAACATCAGTTAAAATAGAAAATTGACCGTTTCAGTTGATTAGTCTGTCTGTGTGTGTGTAGAGATTAGATTTATTTATATCAGATGAAAACACGATCGAAAACAATAAAAAATAAAAAAAAAAAAAAGTAATCAAAACAAACAAACAAAGAAAAAAAGTAATTTAACGATGAAAAGTTTAGACAACATATGTGTGTGTGTGTGTGAAAATTACGACGACGACGACGACTAGTTATCATCAACCCGAATCAAATCAAAAAACGAAAGGAAACAAACAAAAAACAAGTCAGATAGATGATTATCGAAAAAATTGACAAGATATCGTCATTTTGTTTTCGTTTTTGTTTTCTCATTCATTTCATCACCACCATCACCATCATAGAATAAATGAAACTGAGACGTTGAATTTATTTTGTTCATTTCCTTAATGAAATGAACAGAACAAAATAAAGAAATTAACACACACACACACAATAACAAGATTCTAATCTAAATTGATGTTGTCGTTGTTTTTTTTCTGTTCCACATTAATCTCAATGTGTGATTTTTTTTCATCATACGATTTGATTTGATTCTGTAATCAATGCGATAATATCATCATCACGATCAATTTAAATTGCGTTTTCATTTCATTTGAAATTGTGATGCAAGGAAACAAAAAAACAGACAGATCAGACTAATTAGATAATTGTGTATTATTATTATTAGCCGGATTGTTTGTTCATCATTTTTGTTTGTTTGTATGCGGAAAAGAAACCACTGTTCATACGAATTGAATTGAACCAGAGCTGAGAATGATTCGGGATTTTTGTTTTCTGTTTTTTTTGTGAATCCTTGGTTCATTAAATAATTAGAGGTAAATTTACTCGTCGATTTGCTATTCTCAAAAAAAATTTTAACCACCACCACCACCACCATCACCACTCTATGAGAGTTCACAAATCATGTTTATTATTATGATTATGATAATGATGATAATTATTATCACCAGAATGGCCAGAATAAAAAAAAAAACAGAATTAGAGAATCTATTTTAAGGATTCATCATCATCATCATCATCAACAACAAATATAGGCAGTGTGCTGTACATGTATATATTCATTCATATAATTTATGAGCTATAATAAATTATATGGACATGAGTATGAGTGGTGTGTGTGTGTGTGTGTGTGCGTGTGGGTTGATGGCGCTATCAAGGGCAGACAACGAAAAAAAAAACAGAAATTTTTCTTCGTTATCATTATTGTTTCGGTTAATAATAAAAAAATTTTTTGACCATTGAAGTGACCAACACAAAAAATAAAAAAAAATAACGAATAAAAATGGGTTTGTTGAAGAGTTGAAGCCAAAAGAAAAAAACCGATATATATTCGGTAATATTTGACCACCATTTTCTACTGAAAAAAAAAAATGGACGTGATGGACAAATAAATGATAATTAAATAGCCTAATACATTAATTTTATATAATAATTATTATTATCATCATCATCATCATCATAAAACAATTTTCAAGCAACAACAAAAAAAAACTTGGCCTATTTTGTCCGATCGTTTTGTTATCGTGTGGTCAATTGTGCACACACACAGTTAGAATATAATCTATGGTCATACATATACACACACACAACACACCGTTAGAGTTTCGGTCGGTCAAATCATCATCAGTACCAATTATAATTATTAATGTTTTTGTTCAGAAAAAAAATAACCTCCGAAAAAAAAACCCATCACATCATCCATACCAGATAATTATAGTTGATTACTACCACACCTCACATTAGCAGTAGTAGTAGTAGTAGTAATTTTGAAGGGTTTTTTTCCAGTAAAAAAACCACATTCAGATGATTCAAATTTTCAATAAAAAAAATGTATCAATAAAGAATAATAAAAAAAAGAATGGCGTTTAATGATGATGACAATGTTAACATTCAATGATTATTATCCGATATGTGAATGGCCCGAAGCCAGCCATTCAACAACATCGTCATTATTGTCATCGTTTATGACTCGATGTATGTGTGTTTGTTGAACATCATCATTATCCTCATTTGTGAATCATTTTTTTTTCACGGGAAAAAAACCATTTTAATACATCGAGTTCATGATGATAATGATAATGGCCATCATCATATAAATAATTGGCTAAACACACACACACACACACACGGTGGTCATTGAACAGAAAGTATTTGAGAATGAATACAACTTTTTAAAAATGCAAATAAAACTTACAGAAATTTTCCATCCAAATGGCCACTAGATTCTATACGTTTTTCCGCTTCTAAACGTGATAAACGAAAATGATACCATGGCTGTAATTCATGCATTGATTTAATAATCAACGATCGTATTAATGGTGAAAATGTTGGTGAAAAATGTAGATCACAGTCAATGTTTTCACGCATTTCATCGATGGTCAGGCCCCAATTTGGTGCACGTTGTAATAATTGTTCACGTATTGTTTCTACATTCATTTTCCAATGTATTGGTGGTAAACATTTACCAAATGGTGCCCTTAATGGTCTTGTCGGTTTACAAGCTAAACCATCTACTGTTTCAATCAATTCCATTGGCGATTGAAATGTTTGATTTGGTAGTCCTTGTAGTACAACATTACCGTTGGATAATTTGTTGATTCTATAATGCAGAACGCTGCCGAAAAAAAAAAGTGGATATAAAACAAGAAAAAAAAATTAAAATCATCAGAATTCAATAAACCAAATGTCAGTCTGTAAGTAATAAATAAAACTGTATATAAAAATGTTTCACCTGCGGCAAGAATTCATTGAAGAAAATGAAAAGAAAATTCAATTCGTAATTTGATTAATTGAAAGGAAAAAAAAACTTACTATGCACACACACACACATCACATGTTGAGTAACAACAAGATATATATCGCCTGAAGTATCGACTTTATGGCACAAGTTTAACAACAACAACAACAACAACAACAACAACAATGAATTATCAAATTATAAGTGTCCTACTACTATGAACTAATCAACGAACAAACGAATCAACCAACCAACCAACCATATTTTGTTGAAGCAAATCATCAACAATGGAAATTTTTTTTTTTTTCTTCTTCTTCTTCTTCTTCACTTTCATTAATAATTGGATACAGTAAAAAAAAAGAATCAATCGGTATTTTTTTTTTCGTTGTTATTGTAGCGATATTCATTCAATTTTCATTTCAATGAGAAAAGACTTAATTTAATTTTACATTTTTTTTTCTCCCATTCAACTATACTACGTAGTGTTAAAACTAAAATTGCCGTTAGGCATCTGAATAAATTTCAAATATTCAACACGGAATGAAAGAAAAAAAACTAGCTAATATTTAGTTGATAGTAATTGACTAAAACACGTGCCACTATTTTTTTTGTTTGTTTGTTTGTTCAGAAAACAATAAGATTATCACATTGGATCAACATACCTATTATGATGACAAAGTGATAAAACAAAATCATTTCCAGATTCTCTAAGTAAATACATTCCATCTGGACAACATTCATCATATAAAATCCATTCAGCATCTTCACGTGTTATACATCCATAATAATAAGGCAATGATTCAAGTATTGTGCCCGGTGTTTGTGTTACATAACAATTTTCATTAGCTACTGTTGTCTTGTTGTTATTATTAGTAGCAGTAGTAGTAGTAGCAGCCATCTTGAGCTGATTAACCATTACATGTTTTTCCATGGCCATTTTTTTTTTTTCTTAACGTTTTTTTTTTGATTTGATTCAATTTGAGCAGTTTTTTGATATTTGGCTGGATGGATATTGTTATTAGATACAATATTCTTCAATGATACTTGTGATAATGATGATGATGATGATGTCTTGAAATAACAATCAAAATGAGATGCACGTGTGTGTGTGTGTGTATGTTTGGTGGTTAAGAAGTAATCAAAATGTCAAGTATATAGTATATAACTTGGTCGATAAAACCAGCACTCGTAATAATTATTTGAAGACACTTGAAACTATGAAAGATGAATCAAATTTTTTTTTTCTGCAGTGGCCATTTAAAATTAATCAATTTGAAATGGAAAACATGATGGATTCATTCAGTTCTGATTGATTTTCTATATATATTAGTTATCTATGGGAGAAAAAAATAAAGAAAAAAAAAAAAAACATCATTAGATTATCAGAAAAAAAAACAAACAAAAAACGAAAAGAGAAAAAACAATCACTCAAAAAGTTTTTTTTGTCGTTGTTTTAATACGAATCTCAAAATCTCGAATATCAAAAAGTTCATATTCGTATGTATGTATGTCATCCGATGATGCGATGTAACACAAAAAAAAGACTTCAGAGGATGAACAAAGATCCTGGATCATCATCATGAAAGATTGAAACGAACCAAAACAAAACGAAAAAATCGAAAAAAAAATCGGAAAAAATTACTGAAAAAAACGAAATGAAACATTTTCAATCATCAACGAGATAAAAGTCAAAAAAAAATCGACAAAATTCAAAGCTTAAAAGTTTGTTTATTTAACACTGTGTGGTGATGGTATTATAAAAAAAAAATTCAGTAGTAGAAAAAAAAATTCTACCCTTTTAATTTCATCATCACAATGACATTTGAATGAATTGTGTGTTGATTTCAACTAAAAGTTTTCATCCTTTTTGCCATCATCATCATCATCATCATCTAATGTCAATGAAATAACGAAACATTTTTGAACAAACAAACAAATTTTGTTTTGTTTGCAATTTCTATTGTGTGGTTTTTTTTACCATTCAACAACAACAACGACGACAAATGAATAACAAAAAAAATGACAGAATAGGGATGCTCACAAACAACAATGGAACCATGGAATGATTTGTCATAATTTATGAGAATTGTATCACAACAACAACAACAACAATGTTCATGCGAAATGAATACGAATACGGTCTCTATATGTTGAGCCTTTTAGGAGAAAGAGTGAAAGAGTTGTTAAAGCAAGATGGAATATTATCTGGCATTTTACCTTTTAATGAATCAAAATACATTCCACAGATAAACGTGAATGATCTCTCGACGGGATGCAAAAATCGTCGATGGTAATGGTTTCGCTCACACCGAGGTAGCAGTTGACCACCGGGTTGATTCGTATGTCAATCGAAGAAGCCTGGATACGCCCGACGATATTAATGAAAACAGTATGGTATCGCCAGAGGCAGCCAGACATGGGTCAACATGCGTTCTGGACTCATTGAATTCTTGGTCCAAGATGTAAAATTTATATGAGAAATCGGGACTGTAAATTGACAACAAACCGGTTAACCAAAGGCCGATCCTGTGCCACTGACTCTTTCTTTCTAACGACTTTCTTTCTAACAATTCTTCACGGGCCAATAGACCAAAGGATCAGCAAGATATTGTGGTGCGAGAAAGAAACTTTTGTTTCGCCTGGCCTCTGCAAGGAAATCATCAAAGCGATCAATGTAAACTCAAATTATTCGGTGTTGCTGCCAGCGTCCTTCAAACTTGTTTCTGTAACGACAGCAGCACCACCAAATTCAGAAAACGTCGTTGCTCAGACCAGATTCCAAAACGTGCTTGGCGACCCAACGGCTTGATTTAGTTTAATTTGTCTTCTATAATAAAAAGTCACGCAGTTAGAAATTTGACACTAATCTTTGTTAGGTCTCGACAATTGGCCAGCCAACTCTTCGATCTCAGCCTTGATTTAACATGATAATTAGCTCAAAAACAATGGATAAAAATTGTCGTAACAATGTGCAACATTATCAACAAGAATATCATCATATATTAATCAAAATTTGAGAATTACGAGTCACCCATATTCCTTTCCGGTGACATTGAGAAGAAAAAAGAAAGAAAACAAGAATGTGCATTGATTATCGAAAGTTGGAAGTACCGACGTCACCCATAACCGACAAGCGTCTGATCCCGATAATTGATGATATTTGATAAACCGTATGGAAAGAAATATTTCACAAAATTTGATATTGCAAATGGTGCCAGCCGGCATCGTACCCATTGCACCCGAAGATATCCCAAAACGGCTCCCTTCCTTTCACACATAATTCAAACATTTGGAATGGCTGAAAGTTTTATTCCGGCCTCAAAACGTTCCGGCCGTTGTTGTTGTTGTTGTCAACTCAACAACAAAAAAAACATTTCAAAAATTCATTGAATCAAGCAAATTTCACCAAAAAAAAATTTGAAATTAATATTTATTACATCAGATCAACAACAACAACAACAAAATTGTTTTAAATTAATCACAAAAGATCATCATGATCTTTGTCTGTTTTGTTTGTTTGTTTGTTTTTTCTGCCACCAAATCAAACTTGTATTTTCAATCAGTGTTGTGAATATACATAAATTATTTATAACAAGGCAACGAAAATTTGTCCAAAAATATTTAGCACTGGCAACAAGAACAACAACAACGAAAAAAAAACATCAACAGCAATTTCAGCAAAACAAAAAACAAGAAATGAAATGAAAAGTAAATTAATTTTAAATTTGTAATATATGAATAATTGATTTCAATCAAATTGTGTATACACAGGTTAGGTTATATACACAGATTTGAAATGAAATTACTACATATATTCCGGGTTAAATTATTAATATATATATATGCCCACGAGAGAGCGCAGAGCAGATAGTTGACCATTTTGGAATCAGAAATCAGAAACGGTAATGGAATTGTTTGTTTTGTTTTGTTTTTATATACGAATTCACAATAATTAAAATTGTATCAATTGTATCAACAACAACAAAAAGTCAAAACAGGAAAACAACAACAACAGGACAAAAAAAAGTTCATCAAAATCAAACAAAATTGGCTGAGGTATCGAATTGAAATGACATAGATTTTTTATCGAAGCAAATTTTTTGTCTCTGTGATAAAAATCGAAAACATGATGGGATTATTCATTGAGTGGTGTTTCCAGTCTCCAGTGGCCTAGTATTGAAATTTCAAAGTTTTTTTTCACTTTTTTTTTTTGACCTATCACTAATTCACATCGTTGAAATAAGATTAACTGTTTGTCATCATCATTTGATTATTGTTGTTGTAAACTTTTAAACTAGATCATCATATCATACCCATACTATTTGTGATTAAAAAGTCGAGGAAAAAAAAACAACGAATTTGACATGAAAAATATAACAACAACGAAAATTGCCCGAGAATTTGTGGAATTTTTTTTTTGTTGAATTTTATTCTTTGTTCAAATCGATTGAAATTCAATGAAAATTCTTAGGAAAATTTTTTTTTTTTTTATGAATTTCAAAAAAATGATGCTGAAATTAATAATAAAAATAAAAATTCTAAACATGCAAATCATCAAACATCAGACATCTTGTCACTGAACAAAAAAAAAATCATCAACAATAAGAAAAAAAAATTTTTTCTTCACACTCATTCCATTTTGATTCCAAAAGAAAAACGAAAGAATTTCATGAATTTTTCGGTTTGTACACAACATTTGGTCAACATTCATCAAAATCATATATTCAATGATGACGACGACAATGACGATATGTGTGTGTGTGTGTGTGTGTTTGACAGGATCGAAAAAAAAATAATAATGAATCTGCCGACAATACAGTTCAATATGACAAACAAACGAAGAAGAAGAAAAAAAAGTCAAAATGTCAATCAAAAAGAAAAAAAAAAAACAAAAAAACAAATGGACCCGATGGCGGCTAAATCATTCCATTGGTTTATTTTTTTTTTTTTTTATTGCTTTTGTTGATTCAAATCATATATGATGATGTGTGTGTACAAACACACAAAATCATGCGCACGACATTGACAAACATAAAATTCTGGTCATTTTTTATGTGTGTGTGTGTGTGGACCAACCGAAAAAAAAAACTAGAAAAAAAATGGAAATAAAATAAAAAAAAAAATAAAAATGTAAATGGATCACCGTCATTGTCAAATGTATGGAATTTTTTTTTTTTCTACATCAAAGTTTGGCATCCTTATTTTTATTTTTTTCCACCACAGATGGAAAATGATCGTGGACCGCTATGAAAAAAAAAAATGTTTGTTCACAATGGACAACATGATGATGATGATGATGATTCAGTTTTAATAACTCAAAGGCTGAGTAGGGTTTTTTTTTTTGTCAAACATAAAATTGATAAATAAATGCATATATAGATGTGATGTGATCCATTGAAATTATTGAATTTTCGTTTTACGTTGAGTAAAATGAAAAAAAAAAAATCTATCCGTTTCTGCATTGCTCTACATTCAAGTTTTAGTTTCATTTTTGTATTCCAAGAATTGTTGTATGTAGTAATGTAATTTTAAATGGAACCTTTATGGCTAAATTTTTCATTCGTATAGATAGATGGATATATATCTATGTGTTCTATAATGTTTTTATCATTTGGCTGTTTATATATATTGACCATTCACATTCACATTCATTCATTCATTCATGGACAAAATGTAAAAAGAGCGAACCAACAAGAAATGGAAAACATCAATGAACAAATGATTGAATCATTCAAACAATTCAAAGCAAAGAATTTTTCACCGAAAAAAAAAAGAAAGAAATCTTTATATTGAATGGCTGTCCATTAAGTTAAATGTCTGTACACATTTTAGTAGTTTTGTTTTCTTTCAATTTTTTCATCTTGTAATGATTTTTCAGAAACAAACAAATCACTTTGACTAATTGTAACTGTTAGTTTTTTTTTCTCTCTTTTTTTGATTTTTTAATTAATGATGATGATGATGATGATGAACGTTGTTGATTGAAAGTAAACAACTTGGACATCCTGGTCCGGTTTTCTGAAAAAACAAACATCTTCGATTACATAAACATATGGAAATGAGAAATAACCGAGTATACATAAAAAGACAAATAAACTACTGAGTCATATGTGCACATACTTGAATTCTGGATGCAGAATTTTTTTTTTTCTGTTTGGTTTTGATGTTCCATTTGAAACATGGAAAGAAAATCTTAAAGAATATCTATCTACTATGTGCACACAATCAACAAACATTCAGTCTTTTTTTTTTAAAACAAAAACAATGACGATTAACATTGTCGATTGAAAAGACAAAGTGCTGCTGCTGCTGCACAACACATTAAATGGAGCAAAACCGAATCAACCAACGATAAATTGAAAACTAATGGCCTTGATTTACTCACTCAAAGAACAGCAGCAACAACAACAACAACAACAGAATAATGATGATATACAGCTGTTGAGAAGGGTCTAAATTTAAGAATTTTCAACAACAAAAAACAACAAAAACGAAAGAAAAAAAAATTAATGATAATGGTTTTTAGTGAAAATTGTTTGTTGCGAAAAAAAAGAAGAAGATTCTGTGAAAAACAATAACGTTTGTGCCGTCACTGTCATAATGAGAACAAACAATTCATTTCAACAAAACAAAACAAAAAAACAATCATTCGTAAACGTGGAGAAATGTTTGCAAAAAAAAAAAAATTCATTTGAAAAAAAATAAACAATCTCATGTTTGCGGTAACTGTAATTTGTTGGAAATTTTTTCCGGTTCCGGATTCTCTCTCATCAGATATATCTGACGAGTTATGAAATGTAATAAATTCCAAATGAACAAAATAATAGTAGTAACAGCTGCTTTTGATGGCCATATGATGATGATGATGATGACCCTTGATGTTCAAAATGAAAAATTTGATCTGATAATATGCATCGATTGTCTGTAGTCAGTTATTACTAATAGTAATGAAAAATCATAACATAACATTGATTAACATCTCATATCGATGACAATTTTCATTGACAATCCAATTGAATCGTGAGTAAGACAAAAAACAAAACAAAACAAAAAACTAATAATCTCATCATATATGATCACATTCTGCTGTATATATGATGAAAAAGTAATAGTAAGGCGAAAGAATATTAAAAAAAACAACATTATACCATATCGGTTACGTTAGGTTTAGCCCATCCATCTATACTTTTACTATTTTCAGAAAAAAAAATGAATGGATAGTGTCCAAGTTTAGTGATAATAATAATAATAATAATGATTGGTCATCAATTGTTATTGGATACTTGGATATACTTTCATAGTTATCGGGGCAATCGAGATAGTGTAAAATCTAAATAAAAATAACACACACACAAAGAATTCCATGGAAAAAAAAGAAATATTTTGGTATAGAATTTCAAAGAAAAAAATTGTCCGATCCATATTTCCATACACACACACACACACACCTCTTATATGTGAGAGAAAAAAATGATACAAAGAATCACCATAATAATAATAATAATAAAAAATGATGCTGATGGCATTGTGTTGTTAGTTAGTGTTTAGAATCCAGTCATCATTGTTGGTTTCTTAAAAAAAAAAAAATGGTGCAATGCAATAAAAGTTTATCATAATAATAGCCTAAAAGAAAATGAATTTTGAGAGAAAAATAAAATGGTCAAGAGTACATCGTTTGTTTTGGAATGATCCTACTGTGAAACTGGTTTAAATAGGTTCCAACCACAAAGTTATATATTGCAATTGCAAATAATAATAATGATGGTGATATCATTGGTTTGAAATAAAAAAAAAAATTCATTTTTCTTCTATAATCGGCCAAAAAAAATGAAAACGATTTCCATAAAAAAACATAAAAATGATGATGATGATGATGATGATCGTTTGGCCTTTTTTTATATTTCAATGCATTTTGATTGGCCCTAATATAAATGATTCAAATATTTAAATCAAGTGGCAATTCTGCCAACAACAACAACAACAACAACAACCACAACTACAACAACAACAAAAAAAATTGATCTTTATCAAGTGGTGTTTAGCAAAAAAAAAAAAAAACAACGAGTGACAGACAGAAAGAAGTTAAAAAAAAAAACTTCGACATTCATTCCTGTTCATTGATTATTTATTGATAATGGGCCCAAATGGAAAAGCCCAAAAAAAAAAAAAAAAATTCAATTCACACCACAGAAAGAAAAAAAAATGGAAATTAAATATAAATGTCAATCTTTTCGAAAATTTTTCGAATTAAAGAAAGAACAGAAAAAAAATTAATTTATCTTGACATTTGCATTTGGAATTGTATTTGCAAAAAACGGCAGCTGAGGCAAACATACATGTGAATGAATTAATTCCACACTCACACACACACACACACAGACAGCACAGCACAGCACATCATTGTCAAGATCATGGATGGCATTTTTGGCAACCCAAAAATGCAAAAACAACCATGAAAATATATTCATTTTCAAGAGACCAAAAAAAAAAAAAAAAAAAAAAATTCCATCCATTGTAAATTCAAAATCTAATGAATTTAAATAAATTCACGTAAAAGTGAGGAAAAAGCAATTTTATTAATAATTTATATACGAATTTCATTTTCTCATCTTCTCATCTTCGTCTTCTCTTCGTCATCTTATTCAGCTACAAACAGCAGCTTAGTGTTAAGCTTATCGTATATATATGACAACGCTGATATCAGCATTGGATCTATAGGAAATCTTTACAATAATTGGTAAATGAGAGAAACAAAATAGTCAAATTGAATCGATTTATAGACGGATTCTACTTCGTCAAGTATTCTATGATGGTGATAGATGTTATTCTTTTTATTTTTGAAATTCATGAGACCAAAAAAAAAAAAAAAAACATGGTAATGGTCGGTATAAATTACATGTCATTACATGCATATATGCAGACATGTGCATGTTTTATAATTCAACACAAACACGCACACACAGAGAGAGAGAGCATGAAAACAAACCAAACCAAACCGAAGAAAACAGAAAGATGGCCAAAAATATAATTAGACAAGTTTTTTTTATGTAATGAAAACATTAAGTTTTCATTATCATAATCAAATATACAAGCGCGCACACACACACACACAAAGACATGATCTTTTTTCCTTGTTTTTCAAAAGAAAATCAAAGAATACAGATTTCAAATTGTCATCATTATGGCGTGACAACCACCCAATGTTTTTTTTTTTTTATTATTCACCACTTTTTTCCATCATGATGATGGTGATGATAATCATAAAAAGGTAACCGGGTAACATGTTAACCGAATGCGACGACAACAACAACAAAAAAATCATTCCTTTGATGACATTCTTCTTCAACAACAACAACAAGGAAAAGAAAAAGAAAAAGTGAAAATATTGTCGTTGACGACGGCCACTTGGATATGTTTGCGTAAAGAAAGCAAAAAAAAAAAAAAAAAAAAAAAAGAGAAAAGAGAATCATCACCATCAACAAAGATTGTAAAATTGAATTTGACTTTCTATATCAATAATCAAAAAAAAAAAAAAAAAAATTTCAAGAATTATTTACACACACACACACACAGCAAGCAACGAAGATTTTTCAACAACAAAAAAAAATTGTGAAAATTCTAGTCACATCTATTCATTTATATCCATCCATCCATCCATGTATCTTTCACATATATGACTAACAACTTGATTCTGTCGATTTGTGTTATGCGCTTACTTGTTTCAAGAATTGTATCTGGCTATGAAGAATCAGGAAAAAAAAGAGAAAGGAAATACTGCAAAAGAATTTGGATACATGATGATGACGACGCCGATGATGATGATGATGATGATGGAATTTGAAAATCAAACATTAATAATAATAATAATAACAACAACAACAAACGAAATGAAAAACAATTGAGACTTCAGAACACGTAATTATTAAATAATTTCCACAACTCAAAACAAACAAATACAATGACAGAAAAAAAACACACTGTGAAAATGACATTAAACAGTATAGAAAGTGCAAAAATCGAAAACGAAAACAAAAGTCAGCCAAAAATATTGTTGAACACTGAAACAATATCGTTACTCGTGGTGGTGGTGGTGGTGCTTGTTGAAAAAAAGTAAAATTGAAAAAAAAATCATCAACCAATGATGATGATGATGTGACTATTTTCTTACGGTTGTTGTTGTTGTTGTTGTTGTGGTGATGGTGGACGACTTTTATTATTTTCAAGTTATAACGACAAACACAATAACAATTCGGGTCTGTGTGTGTGTGTATGGGCCAAAATAATATTTGCTTTGATCGTTTTGTTTGTAATTTTATTTTTCAATTTTCAAGCTGCGATGAGTTTTCATTTCAGAATTGGTAATGAAAAAATTTTTCAATTGAATTTTTTTTTTTCAATTTTCATTTTCATTTCATTTTCGATGATATATAGTGGCTGTACATTGGGAAAAAAAAGATTAGGAAATTTGAAATTTTTTTCCTATTTCTCTATATATTCCATCGTTTGTTTAAGAAAAATTGAAAATGATCATCACTTGTATAATACTTACACTTGTGATTGTATAATGCTGTTGTTGTTGTGTCGATTTCAATCTTCTGTTCAATTAAGGTTGGTATTTAATGTTTATTAAATAAAATGTGCAACACATCAATCAATCAATCAATCAATCGATTTAGTGTGAAAAAAAAATTTATTGAATTGAAAATCATGATGATGATGATGATGATGTGATTGACCACACATTTTTGAAAACTTAATTCACTGTTCAATCATCGAATCAAATCAACCGTTCAAATGATGGCATCAAATAATGAAAAATTGTCATTGTTGATTGGCGATTTAAATTGACATTTAAAAGTGGTGAAAAAAAAAAATTTTTTTTTTGTTTTCATTTTATAATTTGATTTTCTCGAATGAAAACACACACACACACACAGATACACTTTATCGGTTAGTCAACTGCGTGAACCAATTAAATTCAAAATTTTGTATTTGACAATTGAAAAATTCAAATTGATTCAAGATGAAAAAAAAACTGACAATATTCAAATCGATCAAGAATCAATATTGTTGTTGTTGTGTGGAAAACACAAATCACACACGCCCACACAAATTGATTTCAAAATTCATTCATTTACAACAACAAAAAAACACACACAACAGAACGCATATATGATGAAGTAATAATTTGTTGCAGAAATATTTTATTCATATATGACAATCATAAATCGAACACTTGTGAATTATACATTATATTCTTACTTGATTTTGATTCAGACGAGATTCTGTGTGTTGCTTGGTTCATTTCCTTTTTCTTTTTTTGTTTTGTTTGTTTTGTTTTGTTTTGTAGATCAACCATGTTATGTATGCTATAGTTATTTTTGTTGTTGTTGTTTATTTCGTTTGGCTTTATGTATTGTATATATATGTATATGTCACGCGTGTACTGTGTTGTCAGATGTTGAATAAAGAATCAAGACTGAAGAAACAAAAAAACTACGACGAAAATCCGGTGCCGAATGTTCGAGTACCCTGGACGACCACCACCACCACCAAATGTACTGAAAAACTACTAAAACAGAATACATTCATATCTCTACATGATTCTGTATTGTGTGTGTATGTAACACATAGACGATCCAGAAACATACAACCAAACTGAACCAAAAAAAAAAAGAAGAATATAGCAACAAAGAAATATACTAAACTGCGCGATTGGCATTCCGGTTGCAGTTTTTTTTTTTTTTTTTTCATTTTTATTTCACTACTTCTAATGGTGTAGTTTTTTTTTTGGTCTTACTTTCTTTACGTTTGGCTTTTTTTTCTGGATCTCTATACTAGAGACAGTGGAGAAAAAAAACATGACATGCACAGAACCATATCTTGTGTTTGATTTTTCTATGTTGATGAATTCTGTTGGTTGAATTCATATTGCTTTTCAGGATAATTCTTCTGTTTTCTATTTCAGTTTATTCTACGTTCGGCGTCTGGTTTTGTGCTTTTGTGCGTGGCATGTGTGTGTGTGTGTGTTTGAATGCCGCGCATCATGATCCAAAGCAATCCAGAGACAGAATTAATAATCCGCTGATGGATCCTAGCAATTCCGAGAGAGTACTGAATTGAACAAGCAAGTATCCATTACTTTTGTGACTATTCTTAATATATTACTGATTACCATCATTTTCAATACAAGGGTTATCCAATTTTTTTTGACTCACCATATAATTAATGCTGGTCTAATGAATGAGAAAAAAAATTGAAATTGATCAGCACCAAATAAAAAGAGGAGGAGAATGGATCCAAACACCATCATCATTGTTAACCCCATCATACCATATGAGTAAAAGAATGAGAAAAAAAAATGCAAATGAAACAGAATAGCCTGTATACTGTGTATTAGTTTCAAAATCCTCGTGTGTGTGTGTATGTGTATGCTGTATATGTTTTGTGTGTATTGATAAAGATAATTGCTTCTAGTCATCTGATAATCATACATATACTGATGATTTATTGGGCAGTGGTATTATTATATATATTATAAAAATTTTGACTTGATAGCAATTCTGTTTCTGAAACACCAAAAAAAAAAAAAAAAAAAATGTAATCGACGTTGGATTCCATATATACACATGGACAAGCTGCATTGCATGTCCAATGTTTCTCTCTGTGTGTGTGTGTGTGTGTTGAAGATATTATATCTGAAATATTGCCTATTGTGTGCGTGTGTGTGTGTGTGGCATTGATGGCATTGATGGTGTTAATCATCAACAATGATTACAATGACAATGGAGTTATCTGCAAACGACAGAGAATAATTTTTTTTTCTTGGCCAAAGAATAAAAAAAACAACAACAACAACAACAACAACAACACAATAAGGAACATTTATTGAATGAATTGAAAAAAATGGACTTTTATTTTCAACAAACCAAAATTGATTCAAAAATTTTAAAACGAAATTTTTCAATCGTCTATGTTAATGGTTGTATATTTAAAAAAAAATCTGAACATTTCCTGCGTTTGGAAATGTTGAGAAATTTATCAAGAATAAAATTTACGAGAAAAAAAAAAATTCCTGATTAGATTTTCTCTCTCTCTCTCTCCCTCTGTTACAAATGATTCATGTGGCTACAATTTAATTCCTTCTAGTTTTTTTTCTGCTGCTGCTGTTTCCGAAATTATTATCATTACACGATACGATGTGTTCGATTATATATTTGGATTCAATAATACGATGACCTTAAATCATTTTTTTTTTCATTCTGAAAGAAAAAATCGATTGATTGGAAAAATAAAAAATTCCATGCTTTTTGATCAATTCCGTGTTTCAAACAAGAATAAAAAATGGAAAAATTTATCAGACAAAAATTTGCCAATCAGCTATAAGCGAAATGAGAAATGTTGTTACTATTTGAACTAATTATTCTTGTCATCTATAGTGATCAGTTTTGCCATATTGGATGGTTATTTCATTACATTCTAATATATCGATTATCTAGAAAAAAAATTCCATTGCTTATTATCATCGACCATCAAGATGATGGTCAAAACACAAAGATCAATGATGTAAACAAAAAAAAAAATAAATATAAAGATCAAAATAAGAAAAAGTCAAACAATCAAACAACAACAACAACAAAAACATTGTCCATTGTGAAACGTGACATATCAAATACACACACACACACAAATAAGAAATTCTGAGACATTATTAAATGGAATCGAATCTTTTTCACCACCATCACCACCACCACCACCACCACCACCACCACTGATCATCACAATTAATAAAGAAAAAAATTCTTGTTTTGTGTTCCACATGCACACACACACACACACACACACACACTGAAACATCTGTCTTTGGATTTTCTTTGTAACAAATGCAATAATCACGAATCGTCTTTTGTTTTCATCCATATTTTTTTTCCAGCCACCCCCTCCCGCTTGTTGGAATCCATCGTCTGATTATTTGATTTCTGTCTCATTTTCAAAGTTATGTCATTGACATTTGTGTATGTGTGTGTGTGTGTGTGTGAGAAAAATGTCAGAAAAATACCATCGAAAAATTTCAAATGAATAGAAGATAATGAATGAATGAATGAATGACGGTGATCCTATCATATCGAAAAAAAGGAGTCAAAAAATAATAATGACGACTGTGTTGAGAGTATTAAACACACACACACACACATAGTTCTCGTAATGAATTCCAAATGAAATATATGTCTAAAGATGAATAATTTCCATATATATCCATTCATTTATTTAGCTATGGCTGAATTCAATCAATAAATATTAGAATTTATGCCTTTGAACATCTAATCGGTTTGACTATTCATTCATTCATTCATTTATTATTACCATTGATAAATTGGTTATTTATGACCAATATATTAAGTGAATGAATAAAATCATAATGATTTATCATTATTTATTGACATCATCTTATGATCATTCATATTTTTTTTTATTCAATTCTAATCAGGTTTATTTTTTTTTTTATGTTCATAGTGTTTGGATCTATTATTAAACGATGCAAAAATTGAGAGAGAGAGAGGCATACAAATAATAACCGAGAACGCTATCCATGACTCTATATATAGGTGTGTATTATTTTGAAAAAAAACAAGAGGATTTAATGATCAAAAAGATTTTTCTACCTAAAGTTATTTTTCATTCACATTCTCAAGAGAGAGAGAGAGAGACTAATAACTTGGACTGGGATTTGATGATTTTTCTCCAGCACATCGTCACACACACACACACACACACACACAGATGGAGAAACATATGCACTCTTTTCGCTTGGTCGATGATCATTATAATCTAATTTAACTGTAATTAAATTTAATCCACTTATTCAATGTTCTTCTCTCTGTGTGTGTGTGTGTTTATAAAATACACGGAAATACAGACGAAATTAACAGAGGGGTGGATAGAAAAAAATCACAACATTACGGGTAAAAAAAAATACGAATTTTCTAAATTGGCTTCAATGAAAATGAAAATGTTCAATTATCAAAATCCCAAGAATGGAACAACATTGTATATTGAATTGAATTGAACAATTCGTACAACTTAGTTAATAGTTACGGCTGAAAAAAACAAATAAAAATTCCATTCAGGATTTGGTAAAAATCTGGTAATTTCATTCATTCATTCATTAATTCATTTAATCATCATAATCATTGATTTGTTTTTTTTTTGCTGTCGCCATAATCATCGTTGGATAATTTCATTTTTTTTTTTTCATTATCCAACAAAAGAAAATTTTCCATTTGGTTTCTTTTCACCGAATTGATTTGAATGCAATGCAATGAAATTGGTATAATACCATGTGTGTTTCGGTCCATTTGGTTAATGAAATAGTGGGGGCCATCACCACCACCACCACCCACGGTGGCAGAATGTAGAAAAATTTTTTTTTTTAAACATATTGCAGAGACTTGTGAACCACAACACATCACACACACACACACACACACACACATGAATGAACCCAATGAACAAAAATAAAATTAGGCACCTTGTGTGTGTGTGTGTGTGATTCATTTGCTAATAGAATCATAACCATTGTTTGACACATCAGTAAACACAACAATCAAACAAATGTCAACGACGACGATAGACATTTTCTTCAAGGAAATATAAAAGAAAATAACAAGCTACTATATATATAGCGACACAATACACGATC